CGAGCGGGGAGGGCGGGGGAGGCCTGCCCAGCCCTGCGTACGGAGTTGCGCATGGCCGGTTAGCTAAGCGGCGTCGGGCAGGTTCCGTGCGCGGATGGGAGACTGGGTTGGTTGTGTCGCAAGCGGCAGCCAGGCTGCAGGGGGATGGGACGTGCTTCTGTTTTCGCTGCCTCCCCTAAGGTCTGATGTTGGTGTTTCCCGGTGGGGAGGGCCCAGGTCGTGCCGTTCTTTCCTTCAGCCGGCCGCCTCGGAAGGATCGTTAACGGCAGGGCGGTCGCTGGGGTTGCCCAGGTGGCAGCCGCCTAGTAAGGTGCCGTCACCAGTTTCTCCACATGTGCTGATTGCTTTTGGCACCCTGTCTAACCAGGAGTGAGCAAAAGTTTACCAATGCGTAGCACGCTGCCTTGGCTAGTTGCATGGTAAGCACAGGCTGCACCGGTTGGCCTGTCTGGTTGTACTGACAGCAGGAGTGCTAGCGGAAAGGCAAATTGAGCCATGGCTGTGTAAGTATGAGGAAGGAGTCTCATTTAAGAAATGTAGAACAGCTCCTTCATCCACTCCTGAGACTGAAATCTAATCAGCCATTTATCTTCTGGCCAGTACTGTAGAAGTTTCAAGGCTGAATTATACAAAGAATATCAAGGGGCAGTGATGCATATTAAAGGGTTTGGTGAAGTCATAAAAAAATAATGCATCCTTGAAAAGTGATTTTAGTCTCAAGCGGGATCTGATATTATTTCATTGTTGAACACAGGGGCTAACAAATCTATTTTTATTTACTCTTTTAGGTGGAAATGGGCATGAAGAACCATGAAATAGTTCCTGCTAGCTTAATTGCTTCTATTGCCAGCCTTAAACATGGTGGCTGTAATAAAATTTTGAGAGAGCTGGTGAAGCACAAACTTCTAGCTTATGAACAAACTAAATGTGAGTTTGAATTTTGTGTTGGGCTCCCTCTCTCATTCTGTCCCCAGTGCCTCACAGTGGTAGTTGCAGAAGCACCACAGCTTGGCACGTATGAGCATCCAGAGCACTTGCTGGCCTTACCTGGGAATATGGATTTGTGCAGCACCAAATGTTGTAGCTGTCTGCTGAGCTGCTGGTGACGAATAAATGATAAAGATGACAGGCAGAAAAGAGATGAACTTTCTCTTTTTCTCAGTCACCAAAGTCATGAAAAATAAAAGAATCATCAGTTAAGGCAATATTCAGATGCATACAGGAATCAACCCAAATGAGTTACAGTCTTATAGTACACAAACTGGAGCAGACCGCAAAAGCCTTGTACATTTCACCCCCTCAGAAATGGCTACTAAAGTGTTTTTTATTCCCTGTCATGTGAAAAGTAGTAGTTGCGCAGGCCTTTCCCCGTTTTCTTCAGCCTTTTAGTTGCATCTGGCTTTGCAAACATACTGTAGGAATGTTTGGATAGGAAATTCCTATCCTTTTTGTCCAGTTCTTCAGAGCATTAAGGGTCGCTCTAGATCATCACAACAATCCCAGATTCCTGCTAAAAAAAATCCTCCAAAAGGCTCCTTGGGTTTTCCCAGGCTATTTAAAGTACTGCCATTGCCTCTGTTAGAGAGGGGCTAACAGCATGTCTGTCTTTTGCCCAGTTGTCAGTTTTCATAAAACTTGCAGGAATTTAAACCTCTTTGCCATTCTGTTGAATTGGGCTGATATTAGCCAACAGGTGAAATATTGCTTGGGCGTTGTGTACTGTAAGCTGAAACAAGAAACAAGACTAAACTGAGACTTTATTTTAAATGTAATATATACGTAACAAGGAATGAAATGGTTTGTATTTTATTCTTACCTAGCTTTCCAGGGTTATCGGTTAACTAATACAGGATATGATTACCTTGCCTTGAAAACTCTGTCTTCCCGGCAAGTCATAAATTCTGTTGGAAACCAGATGGGTGTTGGCAAAGAATCAGGTAACTAAAAAAAAACATTTTTAATACTCTTTAAGCAAACAGAGCTGTAACGTTGCAGATATTTTGCTAGAAACTAGGTAAGTTTTTCTCTGGATAGTCATCAATCTGTCAAACACCAAGATTTATGGGTCACTTGTTGAAATGCTGTGTGAGGCTTCTGGCTACATTTGAATATTTCTTCACAAGAGTGTTGCTCTACTTTGACCATTTTGTCTGATTCTTGGCTCATTGCTTAAAAAGGTATGTTGCAGGCAGGTGCTGTTTGTATCATGCTTTGTGAAGAGTTTTGAACCATTTTAGCAAAAAGATAACTTCAGCTTTTTCATCCCACTTAAAAATAAGATACTAAAGTGAAATAGGCTCAAAACTATTGGAACGCTATCTTCATTCCTCTTACATTCACGTAGATTGTAATTTGACCCAGCATGTAACTTGTGTAATAGAAGAATGAGAAGGGGATTACTGGGGACAAATAGTAGCAATGAAACACGCTATTTGGTAACACTGTTTAAATTAAGAGGCTAGTCCCTTGGGTTGTCTGTCCACTCAATAGAAAGAAGGCGGTTCTTCCAGAGTGCAATTAAGAACACCAGCATCTGCCCTAGATTTCTGTTGAGGAAAGCTTATATTTGTTCCTTGCTGTGCAGATAGCCTGGAGATGTTAACCTGAGTATAGGAACCTTAAGACCTCCTACTCTGCAAGATGTTTCAGATCACATCAATATTTCTTCTAGTGGAGTACCATGATCTCTTTAACAATAATTTCTTGTCAGATCTCTAATGTACAATATGTAAATTTAGGTGTCTTTACTATCTGTAGTAGAACTTGCCATGCCAGAAATAGTGATTGTGAGAAGTGAAGTAACAAACTTATCACTGCACTTTTTCATCAGATACTAGCTTGTTAGATATCATTCATTTCTTAGATCTATGTCATTATTTGTCTCATAGATATTTACATTGTTGCAAATGAAGAGGAGCAACAGTTTGCATTGAAATTACATAGGCTTGGAAGAACTTCCTTTCGCAGTCTGAAAAATAAACGCGACTACCACAAGCACAGACATAAAATGTCATGGCTGTATTTATCCCGGCTAGCAGCAATGAAGGAGTTTGTCTATATGAAAGTAGGTGGCTATTCACACAATATCAGCAATGGTGTAATAGACTGGAAGATACTTTTGAGACTGTCTTTTGATCAGTTCATATTTGCAGTACTGATAGGATTTACGCTTTTTTTTTTTTTAACTAATGGACTTAAAGTATATGTTTCAGAGAATTTCAATGCTATATGTTTTGTATACTTTCCAATGATAAAATGAAGCTTTGCCATGGAAGTCATGTGGAACAGAATCAGGTGTCATGAGAGAATTTCAGAGGAATGTTATTATTTATAGATAGTTTATATGTCACCAGTTCTGCTGTTTTTCCTGTAAAAGTTACTGCATAAGCTTGCAAAAACACCTTAAAAAATAACAAAGTCTACAGTTACTTGTCAGAATTATTCTTTTTTTTTTTTTGGTTCAGCTGTCATTTGGTTTTGGTTTTAATTCATTTATTTACTTTTTAATTTACCATGTTTTCAGTTGTTGCTGTGCTGTTGAGGGAAATCTTTCAGTCAAGAATGGTGTTCTGATCTGAAAAGGCATGCTTTCTTCTATACTGTGGGAAAAGATTTCATTTCCAAGCATATATTGCTGCTCTTGGAATTCCAGATTTTTCGACCAAAAATGCAAATGTTATATAGTGATTGAAAGTTGATAATGGAAAATTAATTATTTATTAAAAAAATACTTTTCCTTTCTCCTTTTGTACTATTCAACAGTACTGTATACATTAAATATTATTTTCTTGTTTATCTTAAAAAAAAAAAAAAAACAACCTTGATAGGTTCTACCAGTGGCCTCTACAGAGAGAGAAAGAACTATTATCATCACTTAGAACTTCTATATTGGTCCAGTTGGTCCAACTGGTGAGGCATTATGTGGTCAGGACTTGTATATATAGTCGCAGGGGTCAGCTTCCCTGAAAAGACAGTTGGGGGAGGATTAATTGGGTGCTGAAAAGTGATAGTAGTGTAATATTTAAGTAACAAAAGATGTATTTATGTTGCTTTAACTTAGAACTGTATCTTAGAAAAATTCACTGGTAACAAGAGAATGAGTAAAAAGAGAATGAACCCATAAAGAAGTTGAGTGGATCAAGTGAATGGCTAAATTTACATTAGAAAAGGCAAACAGGAGAGCTTTAAAGATTAAGCAAACGTAGGTCACAATATTTTGATGTGGTGCAATGCTGGTTATTAATATTTAAGAATGAACTTCGGTCTTACAGCAACTGAGTGTGGATTAGCTAGTCAGGCAGAGCTGCATTGGCAGCAACTTAGTGTGGAGTTTTTTTCTGATGCCTGACACTGTATTCCCAGTTACCTGCTATTGGTTACTTAGGCTAAAAGACCAGATATGATTCTGTCATTTTTCCATTCGGTTGTGTTTTTCTTCCAGGTGGATGATAATTAAACTGTAGACAATATAGCAGCATGCTTAGTATCTAAACTTACGAATTTTATTTGTCTTTGCAGTGAAAGTTCAAATGGCTGTTATACTGTCTTCCTTCTTAAGCATGTGATTTGATGTTTCCAGTTAGCATTTGAGTAATGTCTGCTGCTTCCACAATAATATTTATTGCTTAACTTAGATGGGAGTTTGTCAATATATGTAAAGTTTTCTTAACTATTTAATTTTAATTTTTCAATGTGTTGTCTCTTTCTAGGCTTTGCATGACAGAAAATTTCCTGTTCCGAAACCTGTAGACTACAACAGGCATGCAGTTGTTATGGAACTTATTGATGGCTATCCTTTGTAAGTACTGAAGCTTGAATTCTCTGTGTCACAGAAACCCTAACAATGTTAGGTTCAGTAAGGTAACAGGGTTAGGTTTTTTCCTTGTCATGTGAGTGAATTCCGATTCAGCATGCTGAATAATGCTCTCTAGCCCACACTCACTGGCATTCTACTTCGTTATAGTCTTGCTTCTCTTATCTCTTTATTCAGAGAAATTGGGGGTTTTTTAGTCAAAAAAAACTGGTGAAATAGACTAATCTTTTAAGTAAGGAATATATCAAAAGAGCAGTGTGACACAGGTTAGTATTGCAACTGTTTTCTACACAGAAGTAGCATATTCTGTATGTTATTGGATATATACAATATTGAATATTATATCCTACACGTTCTGAGCTCCAGTTCATGATCCTTGCTTTGGTAATTTAGGTTAAGATTATAACTCACTGTTTCAGAACTTCTGCTCATATTTATATAGAATACTATGCATAATCTGGTTTTGATTCTTCAAGGAAGATTACTTCACTTGAGTTGTTCAACATCTAGAAACATATCATTGAAGTTTGTATGTGAAGGGATCATTTCTTCTTTTGGCAGAGCAGAATGCAAAAGGCCTATATACTTGATGTAATGTAGAATAACCTAGGTGCTTATCCAGAGATTTAAAGTGTCTAGTTCTAGAACAAACCAGTCCATGCTCTTGTATAGTAATCAAGATCTAAAGTGGGCAGTTTAATCAAAAGGGAATTAACCCCAGGGTATAACAGTTGAAGAGTAACATGGAAGAGACTTCATATATTCTGTCTCCCCACCTTCATTTGTTAAATTTAATTCCACATCCATCATGTACATGGAGTACTTCAAGTTCCATGTGGACACCTGCAGTGGAAGTTTATCATGCTCTCCCTGTTTTGCTATTATAACCTGAAGGAGATACGTAGTGGATGAGAATTATTTCAAATATGCCAAGATCAAAGAATCTCCAAATAGTTGAGGTTGGAAGGGACATCTCGCAGTCATCTGGTCCACACACCCTGCTCAAGCAGGGCCACCTACAGCCTGTTGCCAGTTTTTCTATTGTCCGTTGCCTGAGTTGAAAAACTAGTGTGGCATTGGTGACTTATGGTAAACAGTTGTTATACTGTCTTTGACAAGTACAAGGTTATCCAAAGTTCCTGCCAAATTTGACTTAGTTTTTCCTAGTCTGCCTACTTTATTTTGCATCTCACAGAATCACAGAATGGTTGAGGTTGGAAGAGACCTCCAGAGGTCATCTGGTCCAACCTCCCTGCTTGAGTGGGGCCACCCAGAGCTGGTTGTCCAGGACCGTGTCCAGATGACTTTTGCATATCTCTAAGGAGGGAGACTCCACAACTTCTTTGGGCAACCTGTGCCAGTGCTCAGTCACCCTCACAGTGGAAAAAGTGTTACCTATGTTCAGACAGACCCTCCCGTGTGTCAGTTTGTGCCCATTGGCTCTTGTCCTGTCACTGGGCATCACTGAAAAAAAGCCTGGCTCTGTCTGCTTTGCACCCTCCCTTCAGGTATTTATATACCTTGATGAGATCCCCTTGAGCCTTCTCTTCCCCAGGCTGAACAGTCCCAGCTCTCAGCCTTCTCACGTAGGAGAGATGCTCCAATCCCTTAATCATCCTTGTGACCTTTTGCTCGACTCTCTCCAGTATGTACATGTCTCTCTTACACTGGGGAGGCCAGAACGGGACACGGCACCAGTGTTGAATAAAGGGGAAGGATCACCTCCTTCGACCTGCTGGCCATGCTTTGTCTAATGCAGCCGAGGATACCATTAGCCTTCTTTGCAGCAAGGGCACATTGCTGGCTCGTATTCAACTTGGTGTCCACCAGGACCCCCAGGTCCTTTTCTGCCAAGCTGCTTTCCAGCTGGGTGACACCCAGTGTGTACTGGTGCATGAGGTTGTTCCTCCTCAGGTGCAGGACTTTGCACTGGTCATTGAACTTCATGAAGTTCATGCTGGCTCATTTCTCCAGCCTATTGAGGTCCCTCTGGATGGCAGCATGACCCTCTGGCATATCAGCCACTCCCAGTTTGGTGTCGTCTGCAAACTCTGCCCTATCCAGCTCATTAATGAAGATGTTAAACAGGACTGGAACCATTTTTGACTGCTGGGTTACACTGCTAGTCACTGACCTCCAACTAGACTTTGTGCCCAGCCATTCAGGCAGTTTTCAATCCACTTCACTGTCTGCACATCCAGACCGTACATCAATAGCTTTTCTATGAGAATCTTACGGGAGTCCAGGTAGGTAATATCCACTGCTGTCCCCGCATCTAGCAGGCCACTCACTTCATCACAGAGGTTTATCAAGTTGGTCAAGCATGACTTCACCTTTGTTAAGCTGACTACTCTGGATGATTTTCTTATCCTCAATATGCCTGACAGTGGTTTCTGGGATTAGCTGCTCCATTACCTTCCCAGGGCTTGAGGTGAGGCTGACCAGCCTATAGTTCCCTGGGTCCTCCTTCTTGCCCTTCTTGAAGATGGGAGTGACGTTTGCCTTTCTCCAGTCTTCGGGTGCTTCTCCTAGTCACCATGATTGATCAACAGTTATCAAGAGTGGCCTTGCAGTGACACCTGCCAGCTTCCTCAGTGCTCAGGGGTACATCCCATCAGGGTCCATGGACTTATGTATGTCCAGCTGTATTCCCTGAACTGATGCTCCTCCACCAAGGGTGCTTCTTCCTTGCTCCAACCCTTATTCCTGGTCCCTGGGAGCTGAGATTCCTATCTTGGAAGATACCAATTAACATGACTTCCAAATTCAAAGAGCAAGTGGGACATTTCATGATAGAGACCTGTGGCTGTGAGAAGTGTCACCAATTAATTTTGGTACGAGTATGAAAGTGTTCAACAGGAGTCTTTTACAGAGCTGCTAGACTTCCATTGTTCGTTCTTTGTATTGTGAAAATGATCCATTCTCATCATACTGTAGTGCTGCATTCAGACCAAAATATTTCACTGTAATAACTGTACTTGTCAAAGACAGTATAACAACTGTTTACCATAAGTCACCAATGCCACACTAGTTTTTCAACTCAGGCAACAGACAATAGATAACTGTAAATGTTGACCACTTCTTGACAGTTTGTGGTACAATAAGATAACTGCCTTTTTACTTAGTTTGTTTCTAAAGAGAAGATGATTTGTGTTTTGTCACTTAAGGTACTTTGCTTTCTGAGGTATACGTTCAGGAATGCTTTAAGCTTTTTTTGTAAAACCCCCCCCCCCCAACTTAGTCTAGAAAATAGATTTTTGTAAAAGAATATGTCATGGGGCTTTTGAATTTGAATAGAGGAAGGCCTGGTTCCTACTGAGACCATAAGATTACCTAAAACAGGAGAGACATAAAAATTTATGAATCCGTTATTTAAAAAAGCATTATGACGATGCCTGATGGGAGACAATGAGCATAAGTTGAAATGAGATTTAGCCTGGATAAGGAGAAATTTTCTCCCATTGAGGACAGTGTGGCAGTGGCAGTGGCACAGGGTGTTTGGGGAGGTTGCACAGTCTCTCTCCACCGCTGGAATTTTTCAAGCCCCAACTAGACAAAGCCCTGAGCAATCTGGTCTGATCTCAGAGTTGACTCAGCTTTGAGGAGGGTATTGGACTAGAGACCTGAGGGCCCTTTTAACTTGAATTACACTGTCATTCTGTCGGATGTATTTCATATACTTTGTCTATATTTTTAAATAAAGTTTTTCAAAATTCAGAATATTTTATTTTATTTAACTTTTCAGGTGCCAGGTGCACCACGTGGAAGATCCTGCCTCTGTCTACAGTGAACTAATGGATCTAATTGTAAAACTTGCCAATCATGGTTTGATTCATGGTGATTTCAATGAATTTAATCTCATATTGGATAATGATGACCATGTCACTATGATTGATTTCCCTCAGATGATATCAACATCACATGCAAATGCTGAATGGTAGGTTCAAACTTAAAGATGTTTTCAAAGTAAATCTGACAAGTGCTGATGACAGCAAATAGTCAACCATGAGTTATTTCCATAAGCCTGTTTCTGATTCTTTTTCTACCATTGTTGTCATGCAGTACAAACAACGTTCCAAACATAGTTTGATTTATGAATCAGTAGAAATATATCTTTAGGATAAATATGTAATTAATTGCTTCTCAGAGAGAATGATGTTGTTCAGTTAAGAAATGCTTAGAAATAAACTTGCATGCAGTTTGTCTCCCTAGCCTTTTGTCTTGGGATCACTAATAGAATTAGTTTTCAAATAAAATCAGTAAAAGACAAGAAATGTAGGGTAAAAGTTTGTCATTGCAGCAGGCGTCATTACCTTGATTTTATGTTTGTACAATTCTGTATTTTTTTTACAGGTACTTTGACAGAGATGTTAACTGTATTAAGGAGTTCTTTAAGAAACGCTTCAACTATGAAAGTGAGCTCTTCCCAGCATTCAAAGACATCAGGTAGAAACTGCCAGATGAATTTGAGTTCTCCTATTTATGGTATTTGTGCTGGTTTTGTGAGAAAAATGGGTGCCTGTGAGAGATGCTTGTAGGAGAAATAAAAAAATAGGCCCAACTATGCAATTTTAAATTATATTTTTGTCATTCCTATTGTGTTTTCTTCAACCAAAGTTACTGTAAGTGGTTTCCAAAAGCTAAAGTGTGTTTTAAAACCTGCTGCTGCCTCCTTTGTCTTTCCTCTTGCAGCTAAGGAAGAGAGATCAATCTGAAAACTTGATCCAAATGGTAAATAGGAAATATTAACAGTGATACAGAATCAGTTTCTCCCACTTCTCAAAACCTGTTTGACAGTTCTAGTATATTGAAGATTAATTTGGGTTTCAATTTTAAATTTATTTTTAAAATGCTAGTAAATACGGTGACTGCCTCTTGAAACATTATTATGTTCAAAGTTTTCCTCCTAATGTCTTTTTGTCCTTTTTGAAAAGTAAAGTAATTTTTCACTTATTTTAAGACTGAAGCTGTTGCAATGAAGAGGACTTTATTTCATTCTGAGCGCTTTTCCAAAGGGGTACCACACTTGAATCACTCTGTGTGTCAGTGTACCCTTTTTTCTTCTGTTTGCTTAAACATAATTTGAACTTAAAGCCAAATCGTATTCCTGCTAAAATAAAGTAATTTCCTATAAATAAACAAATAAATAAATGCTGGTTATGGAGATGGAATCATCTTCTGTACAAGTTTGCCTCTCTTGGGTCACATTCTGTTAATACTTTACCTAAAGCTCAGCACTATCATGTGGTGTTCTATGTGTTTCAACAGAGTATATCCTGTTTGTTAATAGTATGGGTAATTAGAGTATAGCTTGATTAGTATTTTTAATCCAAAATGTAGCATATTGGTAGCTTGATGATTTAGCATATTAAAAGAAAACATACTTTTACTTCTTTCACAGGAGAGAGTGTTCTCTTGATAGAGAGATTGCTGCCAGTGGTTATGCAAAAGAAATGCAGGAAGATGGTGAACTGCTTTACCCACCAGGTTCTGATGAGGATGATAGTACAACAGAGGTATCAGAATTTGGAGAAGATGCTGAGAATAAGCTCAACTTCTTCAGCAAAGATAAAGAAAACAATGCAGACTTCATGTACGAAGTGAGTGATTCCTCTGAAAGCAGAACCTCTGACGACTTTATGTATAGCAATGAAGAGGCTGATACAACTGAAAGTAGTGAAAATACACAAAGACTGAATATGTCAAAGTTGAGTTCAGCCTTAGAAGAAGTTGAAGGGCAAGCTATGCCTTGGAAGTCCGGTGAAGATGCAGAGAGTTCTGCAGTTGATTTTTTTGAGGGCAAAAGCATAACTGAAAATGCTGCTGAAGTCGAAAATCAGACACTTCGAGGAGGGTGCTGTGATGATAAGGAGAATGGAGACAAATGCCCTGATCTGGTTGACTTGTCGACTTTAAATGAGAAATTCAGGCATTACAGGTAAAGATTCATATTTACTATCTAGGAGTGTGGTTCCTCCCCCCAGTAAATGTAAAGCTTTCAAGTAGCTCAAAAAGGACTACTCTTCAGCTAGCTTTGTTTAAATTGAAGACTAAAAATTAAATTTATTTTTAAAACATTGCAGTGAATATATTTCCTATTGATCTCGTGATAGGTAACTTGTTGATTGGTACTACGTATGTAATGCTTCATATGTAATGTGTGACAGATCAGTTGTCCAGCTATGTAGTAGTATCTAATGAGAGAACAGGTCTTGGATTTAATTCATAGACCAACCTATTTTCTGTGATGGAATTTTCTTCCCTTTTTCTTTATTTCTGTTAATATTGGTAGTGAAAGAGTTCTTGAGATTAAAATACTGCTTCTAAATAACTTCTGTGAATAAATTTGTAATTTGAATGCTCTGTCTCAAAGTCAAATTATTCCGCTGCTCGTTCAACTGAAGTTAGCAAGAACAAGCTTCTTGGAATGTATTATTCAAATATATTGTACTGTGTGTGGTTCTAGCTTTTAATTCCTTTCCTGACATACTTAGAAATTCTTGCTAGCCTTCAGGCTAGCCCCTTGTACGTGAAATTCTAACTCTGAGTTTGCCAGCCCACCATGTACATGGAGGTATATACCAAGCTTATACTCCCTCTCCTCTGCTTTTGCTTTTTAGTGAAATGACTTGTCAAGACATCATGCAAGATCTGAAATATTTTTGTTTAGTGTTCTGAAACTTCTTTTCATGTGCTTGGTATACACGTAGCTGTTGCGCAACAAATTCTTCCTTTCATAAAATGCCCGTTTTGAACAACTAGTGTTAATATTTAAAATGTAAGTGTTCTGTAGTACTTGCGTGTTCTGTTGGGAGTTCTCAGATTATATCTCAAAAAGTTAAGACCAAAACATGATGCTCATAAAGGCAAAGGATGTTTATCTTGCTAGGGGAATAAAATATTGATTTATGTATTTTAGAAATGAAGAGAGTATCGTTCATATTGCTGAGCACAGAACAAGGACTAAAAGTATCACATCAGTCAGAAGTGTTGGGAGCTGTTCAACTATTCCAGCGGTAAATATTACTGTTATTATGTTATTATCTAGTTTACTCTCAGACCATGTTAAGTTGCACATAGCTGTTAGTACGTATTTGTAAAAATGCTACCTAGAATTAATTACCTTTAAAAAGGCTGTTACCGTGTACCTCTCTGGTTTGCATTTCCATGCCCACAGGAAAATAGGACTGATACTTCTGTAACTGTTTATGAGGAACGATTTCCAGCACTTTCCTTCATGTATTGCCCCTTGCCCTTTCACCAACGTTCTACATCAGCATTAAGGAGACTCATTTTGCCAATAACAGGCTAATGTATGTTAAGGCACTAACATATAATCAATTCATTCATTTCTGTTGCTAGCCACAATTAATATTTTTTTATCTTAAAAGTGGATGCTTGAGTCAAGATTTAATTTGGCCTTTCTCACCTGTCGTCTTAGAGATTTCTTCACACTCTTTTCTGAAACATTTATAAGAACTTACTTCAATAGTGATTTCTTTGGCAATATGAATGTATTTGACTTCCTGCATTATATAAATCAGAACATTTTACAGCAGAACTTAAGGTCTTTTTCTTCAACCCTGGGCTATACACTAGTCAGTATGGCTACCACTGTCGCGTTTTTAAAAGTGCATTTTAATTTTAAAGGCAAGAAAGTCCAGTGTTCTTTATTAGTTATAAAGTAGTATTGTACAAAACAGGAAGAAACTTCTTTCAGTTGACAGCTGATCCATGAGGTATTTTTTTAGTTCGGTCAGACTACATACTTGCCATTGTAAATATGGGTACCTATGTTCAGTCTCGTTTTCATTTACAGTTAGGAGCAGAAGCTGTGAAAAATCTAGTTTGGGGAACATGTTGGTGTAGTTTCAGCTCTTTCACGAGATGTACCAAAAGTAAATATATACTTTTTCAGTTTGTGTCTTTTCAAGGCATTTCTATTGCCTAATTAGAGCTAGAAATACTACATCTGAAACCTCTAGTGCTGACGAGTGATTTTTTTTTTTTTTTTTTTTTTAACCTAAGACTTGATCTTCCTCATTTACAGTCTTTTCAGTCTGCTACTTACTGCTTCAGTACTTTCCTAACAAAGGCTTTGCTACCGTCCTACTAAGTGATGTGTTATTCTGTGAAGCAACCTTGCTTTACAGAAGATGCCTGTCAGTGGCTATAATATTCATGGAATAGTTGGCTGCTTTACTCTTTCATGTTTGGATTTGTTTTTTTAAGATAAGTGTTTTTAAGATAAGTATTTTAAAGATACACCAATAACCAATAAAGTTACATGTGTAAATAAATGTTAAGGAACAGCAAGTTTGCATGTTGTCCAAGACATTTTTACAGGACCTCATGCGAGGAGAAAAAAACACAAATTTGATTTTCATTATCACAGTTCTTATTCTAGGGGATGGGATTGTATCTTCTTAAGGAGACAAAGAATTAGGTTAAAACTCTGGGATGAAGTAAACAAAAGCCAGGATGACCTGCCAGGAATTCCCTAGCTTCTGGTCCATGCAATCTTTTTTTTTAGGTTTTTTTTGACTTTGTTTATTTAAATGTGCAGAATTTAAAAAAAAAAAAAATAATGCTACTAAGTCCTATAAAGGAAATTACTTGAAATTGTACTCCTGTACACCACTTGGTGGTATCAGTGGTCATTATGTAGCTATAAAAACCTTTTTGAGTATTTAGTGGATGTATGTTTATATATATATACACACATACAGACACATAAAATGTGTTAAAAATATGTAAATGGCATGTACATACCTAATTTTCTGTACTAAAAGAAAGATAGAATCACTTTAGCAGAAAAGCTGTCAAGACATGTAGCTTTTCCTGCACCAATTTACCTTGCATAATGCTTTCACTTACATGCGTTTATGCTGAGTAAAATAACGTTTCTGCCCATTGCTGAATTGCTTTAGCTTTTGCGTATTAGAGCTAAAGAAATGATAAAAGAGCTATTTGTAACATAAGAAAATAATTACAAAACTAAAAATGCAAAATAATGGCACTGCAGTAAGATCCACTGGGATGCTTAGAGCTGATTGCTGTTATTGCTGCTAGCATTTATTTGTTGTTTATGCAGCTTGCTTTCTGCTCGGTGAAGAAAACATATTAAAACATAAGCAGATTTTTAAATTAATCACAGGAATTCATATAGGCATATGTAAACAATGCCGGTAATAGCAGTAGGTACAGTCATAACTTGGAGACTATGCCAAAAAGAGAAAGCATCGTGAATTTTTGAAAACCAACTATTCCACATGAAGTAAGGTATCTTTCTGTGCTTGTACAAATCTTTATATGCACTGATGTAATTTAATTAGAGGAAGCAATGTGAATGATCAAAAATTTAAATAAGAAAATGTAAATCTGTTTACTCTGAAGCATTTCTCAGTATTTGCTTACATTTAGGTTATGAAGATGGAAAAACTAGTGAGTCTTCTCACCATGTGCTGTGGTTGAGCAACAGAATTTAGTGAATTTACATTATGTTTACATATCAAAGACTTCTGGTATCCATCTTGCAAAATTTCTTCTAGCAAGTTTTGTATAAACTGTGAAAGAAGTCATCTGTCCTGGAACAGAGTGGGAGAAGTACAGAAGCCTTCTTTCAGGGTTCTGCCTATAGAAAACACAGAATGACAGATGCTTTACTGTCAAAAGAAAAACATCAGTGCAACAGTTTAAATTAGTTCTGATCATTTTTTCTTCAGGAATATTTTTCAAGGACAATCTACAATTTTTATTTCCAAAGACTTATGGTTAAATACTGAGTGCTACTAAGTACCCAAGTTCATAGTACAATCAACAAAGCATAACAAGGCAACTGAAATTGGGGGACACGTAAAGGAAATGTAGTTAGATGGATATTTTTCCTCTTGTCCAGTTATTTGAACAGCAGCAGATCTTTTATTAAGGGCAGATTTATTCCTTGGTACGATTTTTTTTTTAATGCTTTATTAATTAGAATAAAAATAAGACACTTCTTCGGAATTTCCAACAAGATATGATTCCGTCATGATTAATAGTTAGAAAGATGAAAATAATTTGATTTCTCTTTTTCTTCCAAGACAAGATATGCAAGTATGCATTCAATATCAGTGCAGTGGCTTGAGCTGGGATCATTTTCCAAATGACAAAATCACTGTCACAATCTACTAAATCATGGCTGTATTTTTATTATGGATAGCTGTTGCCATCATAATGGCGAGCAGAACTCAGAATGAAAACGTAAGTGTAAATAACAGATGAAATTTCATAAAACTACTGCAGTTATTTTATGGAAATAACAGTTCTGTTATTTCTGCTGTTGCTGTTTCAATACTTTTGCAGTAGAGGCATGAGGCAGTCCTGACCTTGTGAATCGTAACAGGAGAGTGCCTTACAACAGGGGGAAACTGGAGGAGGAGTTGTAAATCACTCCTGACTGCCCCTCTTTTTTAGCCACACTTGTGGTAAAGAGTTGTTTTCCATTAGAATCAGATCTTTGTAATCCAAACTTTAGGAAAAAACAGGGTGCTAAAAAAAAAAAATAGGCACAAACCAAGTAATTACTGCAGGATATGAAACTTTCTATTGGTCGGTTGCTTTGGGGTTTGGGGTTTTTTTTGACTTAAAAGACATTTGTCAAATCTTCAAGCACCAAATATTATCAGCTTTCACATTTTTGTAGAAGACGTGTTTTGCACCAAGAGTTGCTGGTCCTTTATGATCCCCATAAGAAAGATGCTTAAACTCCGTAAGGTATGATTTAAAATGCTGTTTATTAGAGCTAAGACTGTCAGAAGAGAATAGCATAGATAATCCCACACCCCTTTGGATGCTGGGAGACCGGAGGGTGTAGCATTGAACAGAACTTCCAACACACATGCAGCACGCTGTGCAGACCTTGTCCATAGCAGAGAATCTCTCTTTCCAGTCAGTCAAGCTATTTTCAAGCTATTTTATGATTTTCTTACAAGGAAACAACTCTGTTCATCATTTGTACAGTCAAGCTGAACTGATGTTCACATGAGAGCTTCTTGCTGCACTTTTAGATAAAGGCATGGCCACACAGGAGGCCTAATTGCCAGTACTGAGTGGGAGCTGACTTAGTTTATCCTACCACCAATGGGTTTGTGCAGCACGACAGAGGCTGGAAGACAACCCTGTACATGCAGCTTAGCGCAACACAGCACAGACCAGGGCTTACTCACGTTAACTGTTGTGAAGATCACTAACTTCTCAATGTACAGAGGTCTTCTGGCTGGGATCATGCATGTTCATGTTGGTACTGAAAATACACTATTGTTTTGCCATGTCTTAGTACTAAATGATCTTCAAAAAGTTCTGATACTCAATTGTTTGTTTATTTGTAGGAACTGGTGAAACAGAAGATAAAACGTCAACTGACCAAACATCAAAAGTCTGCTCTGAGGCAACGGCTGCAAAAAGGAGAGGCAAATATTTATACCAAACAGCGTCGAGAAAATATGCACAACATTAAGTCAAGCTTGGATGCAGCTAGTTTCTGGGGATAATTTATTAAAGCTCCCATAGAACATGAGAAAACGCATAATGTATACAGTTGAAAGAATTATGCTAATAACCAATAATCTTTTTATATAATGGAGCAATCTCTTCTATACAACCAAATGTTTTTCTGGAAGTTAATAAACTTCATTCTGGTTCCTAGTGATTTTTGATTGGGGGATTTTGTTTTGTGCTTTTGGTTAAAACCGTTGACTGTAATTTGAATTAAATCAGTAGTACTGGCTAAGATCATTTAACAACAGTAATTTCCAACAGTATCTTATAAATCAATTGTACTGTGTTTGTTTAGATTAAGAATCTTCTATTGTGCAGAGGATTCTTCTTTAGAGGGAAGGAAGGGAAATTTTTAAAACTAGTTTTTGCAGTGACATGAAATTTAAATTTAAAATGTTGCTCTCATGTTAAACAGATATTTGTTTGGTTTAATTAAAAATCACAGATATGAACCTGATAGCAGTTAGTACTCTAAGAGTTCTTTTGTACCGGTACAAACATGAGCAATCTATATGATGAATATGCATTCTTTGAAGCCAACAATTCTCATTTATTTTTTCCTTCACTCCAAAATTTCACATATAAATCTTGCCCAGAAAAATATATAATAAGTGTTGTACAAACTGACAAGCACTTGGATTTTTAATGTGCCTGCATAGTTACCAATAAATTTAATTGCTTTATATCTAATAACTTACATAAAGTGATGAGGCTTCTGGAACTTCTCTTTTCAAAAATATTACCATGACTTTTACTATGCTATATCCTTGGGGTCTGAAGACCTAGAAGAAAAACAAGTATCTTAGGGTTCTTGGGTTTTTTTATTTTAAGCAAGGTATATCTAGTAGTAAAATTAAATGGTGTCTATATTTAAAAACGTAATAAACTTAAGGAGAGAGTGTTTGTGAACACTGAAGCAAGAGAGAGCAGTTTAAGTTTTTCTTTATTCTTTTTTTAACCATCTATCCACTGTATCAGTGCTTGAGATGTGAGGTGGAGCCCTTCTTGGGAAGGACAACTTGGTAGAGCTTAAATTATCAATCTATAGTTTGGAAAATCTTAAATCTTTTACTTGCCTTAGTAAAGGAAATTGGGAACTTCAGCTTCAACCTTTGGTTTTCTGCTCGTGTGTCTGATACTATCTGTTCTTTGTGCTGTGTACCTGATACACCTGATACCTTATTCAGGTTTTAGCCTGTTGAAGAATTGCAGCCTCTATCCTGTCTTGCAGCATGCTCTTGCTTTCAAAGTTTTTAATTTTTGTCTTCTCTCCGGAACAATGTAAAAGCTAGTCTCAGCCAGCAGCTGTATATGGTCTTAAATAAAACAATAGCAGGGCAGTGAAGAGATGCAGAAGATAAGTGTTCCTTGTAGCATCACAGCTGAATGAAAGTCTGTTGACAGAACTAAGGAAGTCCAATTAAATCTTACACATAAGTGATTGCAATCAAGGAATGTAGGCCTGTTTCCTGGTACAACTAGAGCTGATTTTAGCAGGAGTAGAAAAGCAAACTAAGTGGATTTAATTGCATTTCCATTTTAAATATTAAGGCGGGGGGGGAATCTTTTTATGTTTCTAGGCTCTTGTCTGTTAAGAGACTGGTTTTGTGACAGCTTAACAAGATTTGGGTTACTGTTCTTTGGCTAAGATGTGCATGCACTTTTTGGCTTCTAATTTAGGACTTTTCACAGTGATGAGTTCTTTTTGGTGTGCGACCTTAAGTTTGTCTTGGTAATCGGTTCCAAAAATATACAAAGGCTGTCCGGTTGATTCAGCACCATGAGAAAAGAAAGAATGATGCAAATCTTTGCTGTTTATTTTCAAAATGTTCCTTTAAAAACATCCATTAACTCTTTTAAAGGTATTCTAATGGATGGCTGTAAGTTATCATTTTCATTTACTCTGCCAGACGAGACTCTTCTGAGACTGGAGTTAGCAAGGGAGGAACTAATCCTCAAAGTTACAGCTTAATATATCTTTATTAAGCCTATTTTTTTCCAAAGCAGCAGAATTATCTATCTGATATATCTAAAGTCATCAAAGGTCACAATGAAGTTTATGCATTGAATGAACTTAAGAGTACTTGCTCCACTTGAATGTCCACATATGAAACAAAGTATTTAGAATGAACTTAGGAAAATGCAGAAGTTAAGACAATAGTGTTACTATCTT